TTTTTAATAATTCAACAGAAATCTTGTAATTCTGTTTACTCATTTTTTTTTATCTTACTTTATATGACACAGATAAGAATAAATAAGTAAGGCTAAATCTGTAGTCACTACTCAGCGTAGAAGCGTGTAGCCCTAGAGCTCCTTTTTTTTTCCCCCTTAAGCCACACAAATAGGCACTTTATCTCATTCCATTCTAGCTAGTCAATCGACTTGCTAATGATTGCAGTAAGATCCTGTAACCGCAGAACCAGAGCACCCAGCTCCTCTGTCCTTACACATGCTAACCACGAGCCACTTCCTCTTTGTCATCAAATGTTGTCCCTCGACAAATTCTGAACCTTCTCCCCAAAGGGAGCAAGAATCAAAAGCTCTAAGGGGAATTCTCTCCCTATAGCCTATAGATAGCTCCATCCTTCTTGTGTTGCTCACTGAGGAGGAGGAATGTGGACTAAAAGTTCTTAATTGGCATCAAGCTCACAGACATTGAGATCAGCAAGTTATGGGTGGGCTAATTTCAGATTTCAAGTCTTGCGGTTGTAGGTAGCTTAGCAGCACAGCACAGCTGTTTAGGCACTTAGTGCTTAACAGCAGTCCTGCCACGAATACGTTGCTCTGCCTCCCTACAATGGCCTCATTTCTCACGCAGTAGCTAAATACAGGGACAAAGCATATGGAGGAAATATGGATTGACCAACACCGCAGAAAATGAGTCATCCTCAACTCTCACACTGCTGCTCTTTTATAATTCATGACCACCTTTGTAATTCTATAACTTCCTGAATTTGAAGGTACTTCCATTATTAAAAATGATTTTTTTTTTCCCCCTCAGGAGTTTTCATACATATGTACTTTAATAATAATGTTTCTTTGCAAAGTGATTCAGTGACAATGATTATCATGTATAAGCTAGACCTGACTAAACATTTCAATTAAGCCTTTCCCTTGCTCAGATGAAGGTGTGTTTTCTGAATCTCCTTAATTAGTCTTCTCACACTCTTTTTGAAGGGTGCAGTTTTAGATTTTACCTGATCTATTTTTTCCTAATCTAATTACCTAATTTTTTCTCCCAAGTAAAACTGTTCTCATGTTTTCTCATGTCTAAGCCTTTTCTACACTGATAAAATCTCATTGTATAAAGCAAATAGTCTTTCAAAGTTGAAACATTTTACTCTTCTACAACACAATTTGCAAACTTTTAGTAGTCCAACTTTCCAATATAACAGATGAAACGTGATATTTCTTTCATAAATTTCTGAAATCGTTAGCATTGAAAATGCTAACTATATCTCCTGAAATTTGGTGTGATTAGAGCCTTAAACTTAAAAGCTATAACCTAATTGGTGTTGTAGGATTCAGTGTCTTTCTGTCTCTCTTCCGCTTAATTTCACTAGTGAACTGAGGCGGAATTAGAGGAAAGGTCCTCACATGGATAAACATCTAGGAAAAGAGAAAGTGAAGGGTAGAATTTAATGGTTAGTTTTACAGTGGACTCTAGAAGGCATCTGTGCTTGTGCTGCTCTATTCCACACACATATAAATAAAGGAGAAACAGTGAGGCAGAAATAACTTTTTCTAACAATATTAACCTGTTCAGAGCAGTTAAGATGAAAGCCGATTACGCAGAACTGTGGAAGACCCTAAGGTCAGTACATTCACTGGCCCAGTAATAAATAAGTTTCATCAGTTATCCCAGACAAATGTGAAGTGAAGCAGCGAGTGAGTGGGAAATGAAGGGGAATCATGTTTTATTTTTGTTAATCTACACAGTGACGGAGTTATCAAACACATCTATGAAAACGCCAGCTCAATGCAACAGCAGCCAAAAGCATGTCAAATATTAGGAATTTGTAGGAAAGGAAAAGAAAATGAAATAGAGAATGCAATTATGCTTCGCTGTAAGGCTGTGGTGCGTTCCTAAGGCCACTTTCCTTTGCTCTCCTCATTGCAGAAAGGATATAACAGATGCAGACAGAGCACACTGAAGGGCAGAGGTGCAGACAGAGTACACTGAATTATAGCTCTAGAGGAATCTTCTTCAGATGGAAATAAGGAATGGCTATATAACCTATCCTATGAGAAATGTATTAAGCATGAGTGGCTAAGGAAGATCACAAGCAGCTTATTGCTATAGGTCAGGCTCAAATCAGGGGCCGGAAGGGATGTTTGAACTGTCCTAGGGTATCCCACTGGCATTCAGCTACCACGCCAGAAGTCCACATGGCTCTCACTGGTCTTTGACGTATTTGCCATCCTCGTGAGAAGGCCCCAAATGGCTCTGCAGGTCCACACACAGACAACAGAAAGGGCCAGAGTACCCGGGAGCAATATCAGTGCCAGCACCACTAGCTGTTGTTGCAGGAGCTGAGCTGCCCCTTTCGAGATCAAACAGACCTTCCCAAAGCTGCCATTTACCCGAGCTCGTCCAGCCGAGCCGCGCGGTGCCGCGTCGTCGCGCCCACCACCAGCACCGCGAGCAGCGGCCACGACGACGCTCCGCTGCTCCTGTGACAGAGCTCACGCGGGGCTGCGCCTCCTCACGCCGGCCTAGCTCGCAGCCACGTGTCACACGTTACACGTGGTTCGGCCTGAGCAGAAACGTCATTTGAAAGCCACGTGGTTTCAGACATGGCTGTGGGACGTACATGCTGCAAGACCATAAGGAAAAGAGAAAAAAAAAAGATCGTAGGTTGAGCTTGCCTGTCTAGTAGGTAAAGAGTTCTCCCACATTTTTCATATCTGCACATTTTGTATGCAAAGCACAAAAACGCAAAAAAAAACCTCACAGGAAATAAAAATGTCAATAACTTTTGAGAGTAAAGCTTTTACTAAAATAGCTTTTGTGGACAGTAAATCAAAATAGCACAAATGCTAGTTAAAATATTTGGTAATTTTGAAGAAAACTGTGATTATGAAAAACTAGTAATAGCTACAGCAATCTTTCCTTTTCTTCTTCCTCCTACAGTATTCTCATCAACCAAAAATTTTACATTCTAGCACTATTCAAACAGTTGTAGAAAACACAGATGTTTCCCAAATGTGGGAGAATGATTTGCGTCCTTTCCTGATAGAGAGATACTCAGGATCACCAGGAAATTATGCCGTACGACAGGTAAGATATTTTCAGAAAACACTAAGAACTTCTATTATTTATGCCATGGTAGTCACTTTAGTGACTGCTATTCTAAGGGATGAATTCCTTCCTTTCAGTAGGATGAACTCTGTCATTGCTCTAATGTAAAATGCCTACAACATGCAGCAAGTTTTTAAGATATAAAACCACAAACCATGTTCAAAACATGAGGATCATCCTATACAAGATAACAACATGGTACAGAAATATACTCCCACCAAAGCAAAAAAAATCTCCACTGTCACAACAGAGTACAAAATGGCTGACACTTATTTATTAGGATACAGAAAGAGCATAAGGCTCATTTTGGGGAGAAGGCCAGTTCAAGTCAAGGATAATGCTTATTGGAAACGGTATCCAGGCTTATATATTCCTCTTAATCTGTTCCAGAAACCCTATGTTCTTCCTACAGATAATAGATAGACCATACAATTCCATAAAAGCTTTCAGAAGGCAACCACAAACAAAATGGAAATTTGTCCTAGCACTAAAATTTATGGCAGCATTCCCACTGACTTCACTAAGAGCAGTCCAAGTCTTTAAAGCTTTTTTAAAGCGTTTTTTTTTTGGTTTTTTTTTGTTTTTTTTTTCCCTCCCCTTGGAGGCTCTTCCTAATGTTTATTTAGAGAGAGAGGAATCTGCCTTGAAGAAGCACTCAAGGGACCAGTAAAAATAAGCTGCTCAACAGACATGGCCTTCTAATAAAAGTTAGCCAGAACTGTGTACTAGGCATAGTGGGGGTTTTAGAGGTATTGTCTTTAGGTAGGAAACTGCCTAAACTGAATGACAACTTGTTGCCTCAGTTTTTATCTTAAAATCAGTTACAGAACTTCATTTTTAAAATCACTTATTTTCAAATGCTTCGAACTTTCTTTAATTTATAGCCTTGTAAACAACGAGTATTACTTGGAAGGCAGACTTCTCGTAGAAGTTTTTAAAAGTACAGCATGTTATTTTTACTACTCCATGAATCTATGCATGGTAATTGTCAGAAATAGCCACAACAAGTTCTTTGTAGCCATAATTTTGACATTTAGCATAAAGACACAGTTGAACTGAAAACTTGTATGTGAGGGAGCAAACATAAGATCTATTCTGGCCACACCTGAAAAATCATTAGCCAGGAAACTTCTACAGTGAAGATTTTAACGTGTCAAATTGATGGGTAACCAGTCAAAAAACCATTGGACTCCAAAGACCGCCCTTGCAAGAGACAAGAGGGAAAGATGAAAAGCAAGTGAGCCAGTCAGAAAAAAATGATAAGGTAGCAATGAATGACTCGTTTATTTTACAAAGTGGCCATAAACTAAATCCTTTGCTACAAAACTTATCTATTAAAAATACCACAAATTTACATAAATGCTTACATGCCAGTATTAAGTAGCTACTGATGATTCATTTGCGATACTTTTTTGAAGCAAACAATATTCATCTTTTATGGGAGGTTGATGTTGTTGTTTTTTTTTATTTGCAGCACATTAAGCACCGTCTCCAAAGGCTACAGGCGGGCTGGGTAATTGAAGAAGATACCTTCCAGAGATACACACCGTATGGATACCAAACGTTTTCAAACATCATCAGCACCCTTGACCCCTCTGCAAAACGCCACCTAGTCCTTGCTTGTCACTATGACTCCAAGTTCTTCGGCCCACAGTGGCAGGGGAGAGTGTTTGTGGGAGCCACCGATTCGGCCGTGCCGTGCGCCATGATCCTGGAGCTCGCACGTGCCCTGGATAACAAGCTGCAGTCAATCACGGTAGGTTGCCCGCTTCATTTTCACGTGTTTTTGCAAAACAAACAAACAAAAACCCCAAAACAGCAACAACAAAGCAATAGGCCTGAGAGAACTTCTGCGTTTTCTCTGCTACATTTCTGGTTCTCCAATCACTATGTACATAGTACATACGTACATAGTATCACTTTAAAATGTTTAAATGCAAAGGCTGACTATCTAAAAACTGTCCAATAAATATATACACTATATAAAAATAACACTTAAAACACAAATAATGCATACGCCTCAGGCTCAGTGAGATACGATCATAACTTGCATATACAAGGCACGGACAACTACCCAGAATCCATGTCATACTCAGTGATGTCTTGGGTCACTGACAAGGATTTATTTCTTTCTGTATTTTGAATTTTCAAACATGTAAGTAAATTCTATTTGGGAGATTAATAAATTGCTGTGGAGGACAGGTACATTGACATGTTCCTACACCCAATAACAAATTCAACATTTTCTTCTTGCTTTCCTTCACCAGTTTGAACAGCTTATTCATGAAAAAAAAAAACAGATGATTGAGCACACAGAAAGAGCTAAGTAATAGCATTATCTATCAGTCCATCTTACCTATTTTTTGAAAACCTGCTTCAGACTGTGACCATTGCTGTGTATTCAAACTTCTGATCCTACAAACTCCAAAAGCTGTTTTGCAGATTCATGAGTGCCATCTACTGGTTCTGCATTTACTGTTTACAGAAGATAATTTGCAAGCACTAAGAGGTTTCACATTAAAAGGTCTCAATTGCTTTATCAAGTGTAGGTTGGAATACAATTAGTTAAGATATTTAAGCCTAATTTTCTGCAAATATTTCCAGAAATTAATTTAGTGGCTTGAGACTAATATTTAAGAATTGGAAGATTAAAAATATGACAATATTTTTAATCACAAAACTAAGCATTTCTGTAATACATACACAAGCTTTCATTTAGAAGCTTAATTTTGAATAAATTTACCTGATGGTTATCTATGGAAAAAAAAAAGAATTAATTTAAACACTGTTTTTTTTTTTTGCAAGTAATATATATTTTTATTTAATCTTTTTATCATATAAGAAGAAAATACTTTATAGAAAGGAAATATAATTACATTGCACAGTCTGTTAACAAAAAGTACTTTGGGATCCATCTGCTTAATACATTAGCTACGACCTTTCCGCTCTGCTCATAGCGGCATAACACACTGTTCTGTTTTCAGCCAAATCTATTTATATTTTGACTGGAAGTTGTGATATTTATGTCAGTGTTTGTCTAGTTATATAGACTTAGTTTAATAGCAAAAAGCAGGGAATTACATTATTCAGACCTAGGAATGTGTTAAGCCGTAATAACAGCAACAAATCCCTCTTTCTGAGGTTCAGAGAGTGTTACTGCAATTTTTTTCCAAAATGTAAAGCAGAATGACTCGTATCAAAAAAGCTGTTTTGTGCAGAAGCCAAAGGGTGACAAGGCATTGCTATGAGTGAGGCTCATCTCTCACTGGGAACATAATCAATACCACCTTGCCTACGGGAGGGAATTTTTCCAGACGTTTTCCGCTGTTGTTTACATTGGTTCAGCTCCAGCTATTTGGGAGCTGTAGTCTGCACAGGACATGGCTGTTGCCAGTTGACCCCGCCTTTTTAACCACATCATGCAGCTTTGCGTGAAGTAAAATAATGGATACAGTAGTTCAAATGCTTATGGCAACTGCCTGGCCTACAGTTCCCTGAAGTGACTATAAAGTGGAATGGAAGTGGAATGGGGTTTAGCAGTGTTGGAAATAATTAGGAAATGGCCCCAATACAAACAAGGCCTCAGTTAGTAAACACAGAAAAAAAAATCTTACTGCATAAGTTAAAAAATAAATAAATAAATAAATAAATAAAAATCACAGAGCTCCTTTGTGACTTTATATACAGTAACCATGCATATTCTCAACAGTTTCTATTGCTGTGATACTGTGGCTGTTGAAGAGGAAGGGTGTAACTACTCGCTGTGCTTTGGTCTTAAGGCAAAATTGCCTGGAGGACTGCACGTGACTGGGAAGGAAAGGGTCACTCTTCTCATGACTGAGCATTTTTTGTCCCTCTCAGAAGTTTCAGGAGAAAACACAGTTTTCATAAGCTTTAGACAGACAGTTCACCTCCATGGATACAGAACAGGAGCAGAGAGATTCCTCCTCTGTGGGGCCACCAAGTAGTTGTAGCACTCCCATCCCCTCTTGTCGTTAAAATGTTGCCCTCATTTTTGGAAATGATGATTCAGCTACCTGGTTTTGCAGACCTCTCTCAACATTTTCGGCTCCTGTCCATTAAAGGTTGAAATTAAACTCTTAACCAGAACTACAACTCACTCCGGGCTAGGGCCATGACACCCTCGTGGATGTTCAGTAATAGCTGAGCACTCCTGCTGTTACACTATCGGCATGTGCATGAGATTCCCAATGTAAGGCAGTTTATATAGATTGCCTTAAAAATACATTCACAGTGATGTTGCTTATATGGCTACAGGATCTATCCCCTTATTGCATCATCTGTCCAAACTCAGCTATGTTACTTTTAACTTCCTCCAACAGACCAGCTCAGACTCAAGACCAGACCTTTCACTTCAGCTTATTTTTTTTGATGGTGAAGAAGCCTTTGTTCAGTGGTCGCCTTCCGATTCCCTCTATGGATCTCAACACTTAGCTCAAAAAATGGTGTCTACTCCACACCCGCCTGGCTCAACCACCACAAATCAGCTCCAGGGCATTGTAAGTGCCTTTCACCTCCCTAATAAGTGAATTGCATTTCTTTAATTAGTATTTGGCCAGATTACCATGAAACCCTGAACCCACCAAAGTTAACAGAAGAAGCAAGCTTGTAGACATATTAGAAAATATGATAAAATAGTTGGCAAGAGCTTTTCAGATCTCTCTGCAGGTATGAAAGGAAACCATAAAAAACAGGAATACAAACTAGAATAGCCATCTTTCTAATCACTTTGAACTACCTCTGTTTAGGAAGTGCAGCAGAAATGAAAACAGTCTATGAAGGAATCTCCCCCGGCCCAGACTTGGTGTCAGCTCAGAGCCAGGCTTTGTGCTTTCCTCTGGCCCCTACAAACACCCTGGGTGTTTGATCCCTTCTTTCCTATGTATTTTCATTTCCCAGCTCTCGCTTCTCTTCTTTGTCACCATATCCCATCATGTATAAAAGTTCCTTGCCTTCAGCAGACTGGATAGTTCTCCAGCACAGAAGCACCTTCCTCTGCTGTCCTTCTCACCTTACTCGTTTTTCCCTTTTGAAAGGAGGTAACACAGAAACTGCACACAAGGGGGTCCTGTCCATTCCAGCTGGCCGTATTTCAGCCTAAGGAGCTGAGAAACAGCCTGCATTTCTTCCTTCTTGGAAAGACAGCAACACACGCCCATCTGAATTATGCTCTGCTAATGAGATCTCCTCAGGCACTGCAGCAGCAAAGCTGGGGCCTTGGCCAGAGCTACTGAAGGCTTAACCATGACCTATACAGGAACCAAAGGGTTTCTCTGCTGCTGCAGTAATGTAAAGAATTCTATCTTAAGGTTAAAGATTCTTTCTTCTGCAGGACCTGCTTGTACTACTGGATTTAATTGGTGCACCAAACCCAGTCTTTCCCAATTATTTTCCGAACACTATCCGATGGTTTCAAAGGCTTCAAGCAATTGGTAAGGAAAAGGATATGGGATTTTTAAGCCTTTGGAAATTCGGAGTGTAGCTGGAACAGGAAGTGCTGTAAACTGGACCTGAGGTTATTTTTCTGTAAATGCTAATTTTGGTACTTCTTAAACCTGTATGAAAACTTTAATTAATATCTCAGAGAATCCCCATTTAGGAACGACAAGATAAAAATTTAGAAACTAATTTACAGTGTCACAGTGTGACTACTGGAAACAGATTCACTTCTGTGTTTTAGTTTTCCTTTAGTTTCATTTTCTCGTCTGTAAAACAATGAATCAACCTTGAGGTCTTCTGCTATGTAATACTAAATAAATTAAAAGACAGTCTCCAACTTTTTTCTTCCTTGATGGAAACAGCATTCATATGAGAAGAAAAATAATTCAAAGGTGTTTAAGTGCTTCTCAATGTCCTAAAGTTCTAATCACAATTTTCACTATGAATTACAGAACAAAAGCTACACAACATGAATCTGCTTAAGAACCATCTTGCTGAAAGACAGTATTTCAGGCCTTATTTACATCGAGGCTTGGTTGAAGATGACCACGTTCCATTTTTGTTAAGAGGTACTGGAAACTCTAAGACTGTTTTTAAAAGGCAAGTTTGGGGAGGGGCGGGGGGAAAGAAGAAGCCACTCCATTTAGTGAAAGAGTAGGTATGTATAAACCTGCTTTTCAAAATTAATTAATTCAATTTGATATTTTAAGTCCTATTTACAACAGGCCAAAAATCACAACTTTGGAAACTATACAAGATCAAAAGCAGAGACAAACCTTATCCGTCTTCATCTTGTGGAAGCCCAGCTCCCATGGTAAAGATGATGGAAATCTCTGTTGGCAGTAGAATGTCCTGCACAGCTCAGAAACACCAGGACATTAATGTATCACTCCACTCTACGCTGTTCCTAGGAGCAGGGAAACAGTCAAGGGTCACATCTACACAATCTACCAAATTCTACAAAGATCTACTGCCAGATCTACAGCAATGCTCATTATTACATGTCTAAATATTGACTCTTGCAAGTCAATATGCGTCAATACAGCTCTCCAGCTCCATGAACCTCTTTCACTGTTTGCAGCAAGGCAGGGTCCCAGGGCCAATGAAGGCAACAGAGCTCTCACACGCATGAAAAACAAGCAGTATGCATGAAAACCTTTTCTAATATCATGATTAACGTCTAGTTAAAAAGGGAGCTGCTCTTAGGAATATGCAACTGAAATAAGTGATATAGGAAAAGCCAATAAAACAGCAAACGGGCTGCAAAGAAAAAACATTCTACTGCTGCCCCAAAAAAGTGATCAAGAAGAGTTGATTTAATTCCTCTTTTATCTAATATTTGCATTGTATATCAGTGGCTTAATAGATGTGCATGTAGCAATACAGAGCATTTCAGGTAGAAATGCTCTTCTTAGAGGACAATATCTGATCTGTATCACAGAGTGGAGCCCTATTACTAAGACGCTCCAAATTACAATTTATGGAGAAGACCAATAACTGCTTCAAAAAAGTGCTCCATCCTAATCCTGTTACAAAAAGAACATGGTAACCAGTGTAGGGTCCTGGGAGATGCGAGGGTTTCTCTGCTCTCCTCTAGCTCCTAAGCACAGTAGTAACAATTACAACGCAAAGAATTCCAAATCAAACAGCACAGAGCAGGTATCGCAGTAAAACTACTAGCTACAACTGTCTTAAAAGAGAGAAAAGGACTTGGTATCAAGCAGTTAATTGACTTTAGTGCCCACTGGCAACATATTCATTTTCTTACCAAAAACCTTACCTTTTTTCTTCTCCTCAAAATTCACTTTCTCCTCATAGGGGTTCCAGTCCTACACCTGATTCCATCCCCTTTTCCTGAAGTATGGCATACTATGGAGGACACGGAAGAAAATCTTGACAGAACCACTATCGACAATCTCAGCAAAATTCTGCAAGTGTTTGTACTGGAATATCTCAATCTGTGATACGTTCACTGGCAACAAATTATATGCTATTTTAAATACTGTTTACTCACTTTCATGTTTGCAACTTAAAGTGCATTGGGGAACACTAAAGCAGAGCCAAATATGGCAATAGCTCTTGCTAAATTGATTCAATTTTTTGATATGAAGATACCACTAAATAAGAGCTACTTTCAGCCTGGAAAGGATTTGATCTTTCCATGTCTTGCCTATGAACAATGAAAAAAAGAAAATGGATTATTTCCACATGGTTAATCACTATTTTACATGTTAAAATCTCAGGAGGAAATTCCTCTTGACTTTGGTATTTAGCTACAGTTTTTTTTTTTTTTTTTTTTTTTTTTTTTTTTTTTTTTACAAGGTGTGACCAACTTTTCTATGGTCAGCAATAGAAACTGAGAGCATTACTGTGAGAGGCAAAATTCACATTAAAACATACCTCTGCTTTGGGTTGAACTGAAGCACCTCATGCTGAAAATAGCCACTAGAATTCCTGTCAAAAAGGAGGAATCTGTAACCACCCTCCACTTCCCCTCCTCGTTCCCCAAAGAGGATATTGCAAGAGCTCCTCCGCAGATAAGAGGCCACCATAAAAGTACCCAGAAGCAGACAGTTCTTTCTGTCCTTTAAGACTTTTTGCTAGAAGAGGCCAGGGAGAAGTGATGCTAACAATAAAGTATGTAGGGATTTCCATCACGCTTTGACCACAAACAGGGGAGATAAATGGAAGAGCAGGTGCGGTGTGGGAACACGTGGCCTAACACACAACATCCATTCACACCTTGACACATCCCCTACAAGAAACAATAAAACTGCTGTTTGCAATACAGATTACATCCAAAATAGCCGCACTAGGGATGGGATCATTTTAGAAACTACTTTTATATAAATGTGATTTTAAAGGTGGAGTAATTCCCTATTGAAACTAAAATAAGCATGAGAATAAGAAGCAAGGAGACAGTTTAAGCTCCTAGCAGTACTGACCAGCCACAACATATGTCAGAGAAAGCTACTAATTACTTCAACAAACCTGCAGTTGTAAATTCCCTAATGGAATTATTCAAGGAATTTAGCATGATACTGTGACAAAAATGTAACCTAGAATGAAATCATCTACTAGGAGGAGGCAGGAGAACAATATTGAAAAGCTACCTGGAGAATTGGGAGTTTTGCCTGAGGAGGAAAAAATAAGAGTATTTGATAGGAGGAAAAAAAACAAACAAACAGAAAAAAATCAGTATTTCCTGGTCAAGCAGCTTCTTCCATTAGAAAGTTCTATCTGCAAAGAGATTTAACAAGGAGATAACCTATGGAGTTATAATCATATCAAATTTGGCTTGTATTTTACTCCTTGCTAAAAGCAAATATTTCTGAACCTAAGATAAATATTTACATGCATATTTTAAAGTTGCAATAGAAAAGTATACTTAAAGCAATGCAAATTCGCAAAACTGCGCTATTATATTACAGCCTGAAAAAGAAACTCCGTTTATTTTTGTTGTTCAAGAGCAAACAGAAATGCCACTTTTCATGTTTTTCCATCTTTCTGCAATTGTGATTTTTCCACATGATTTTGGCTTTTTGCATGCAAATTCCAAAGTAAAACACAATAAAAAAGCTCTAAAAATTGGACAGATGTGTTTATTTTCAGATAATTATTGCTGTACAGTTATAAAATTAAATCCAAGCTTTTTGAAGTATTTGCTATCATATTTTCCTCTATTGCGGCCTGCAAGAATAACATCCTAAAATATCCTTATTCTTAACATCCTTCTGAAGTCTGATTACTCTGACCAATATAAGGCACCCAGCTTGAGCCCCAGAGTGAGGAGGAAAAAAGATTAAAAAAAAAAAAAAAAAAAAGGGAGAAAAAAGTATAAACATAGAAAGGAAAAATAAAAAGGCTATATTCAGAAATGTTAAATGAGTTTGTGGCTAATTATGTTTTTACAGGTGAACTCCTTTTTGGTACTTCATAATTTGCAGATCCTCTGAAAAATGCATTCTGCATTTGCAGAGTGCCCTATGGTGGAGCTTGTTAAGATACGCTGGTTCTACAAGAACTTAACAATTACTGAATGGAGGCTTCGTTATGAAATGGGAGAATCAGAGGGTGGTTGTAATAGTGGAAATGCCTCACTTCTTTTTAAACTCTATGAAAGCCAGCTGAGACCAAAATTTAAGCACATGGTTAACACCAAGTGTCTGAGATACCAGTTTTGTCACAATCTCCTCACTGTGAGTGAGAGGAGTGAGATAGAAGTTGCTATAAAAATATTCAGTGGTTCTCAAAACATGAAGGGGTATCCTTTAAGTACACCAAAGGACGCCCTCTCTTAACCACTCCCGAAAGAGAGTACTTCAGAGTACAGATAATCTCTCAAGATTTCCAGCAGACAATCTTTATACGGAATATCTTATCCCTAGATAGTTTCTCCTTCCCTGCTGGATTGTGGCTCCAGGGAAAGCAGATCAATCGAAGGATTTCACGGACTCTGGTAGCTAACACGCATCAGGATGGCTGTTGTACAAGTCTTCTCCTTGAGTCGGATTTATCACATCTCAATTGATTACAAACCCATCTCCCACTAGCGTGTCAGAGCCTGTATGTGGTTGTTACATGGGGGAAGAGAACACAGAACAAGATGAATTCAAGAGCCATTACTCAATAGAGAAAGCCGCCACGAAAACACACTGCATCACAACAGCACTGCAGCAGGAGCTCTAGCTCCTACTCAGGGCAACCCCGTGTGCGAGATGCTGAACAACATTTATCACTTTGTCACAAGAAACCTCGCCTAAGTAATGGCACACACACCCATCAGATTCTCTAAAAACTGCTGCATTTCATTGCATCTCGAGTGGACACAATTAGAAAAGACAAAATGCAATAAAAACTCTTTTGGTGGAATTATACAAGTACCCAGCCTAGACTGGTAGCAGAACCGGCAAAGCACTTGGTTTTAAACCTCCACACATTTGCCTTTTGAGACTGAAGTATCACCTGAGAGAATGATTTAAACATCAGCATACAGAGAGATAACTACAAAATCCTGCACATAAATGACCATTTTTTAGTCTTGTCATTTTAAGGATCATAGTGATGTTACTTCCCTCAAACAGAGGTGTTTTACTCTGTGCTGATATTAGTCTCAATATATTCATAATAACAAAGCAGCTAAAAAGCTGTTCCAATCTGTAACATCTGCAGATTATATACGTATTGTAAACAATCACTCCAAAAAAATATTTTGTGATTATATTGCACTGGAGTCTGGGATTCTATTCTCCCTTCTCACTTTAAAATCGAAGATAAGCCTCATTTTTTAACAAAATGAAGCTTTAATTTTCTACTAAAAACAAGTAGGCATGCAATCAGCATGGTACAATATATTTAACACATCAAAAGGGTGGCAATGTTTGGTTATGAAACTGGAGAAAGGAACAGTTCTCAGGCCACACAGGAGTAGTAGGACACTGTAAACATTCTGCTGGCTCTAAGGTGTTGAATTTATTGTAGAGAGCGCAGTCTAGCCCAGCACCCTGGAGAGGAGAATCTGCTCATATGGTCTGTGGCTCAGTGCATTTCCACGCAGCAAGGGCACATTAACAGGAGACTGACTACGCAAAGGCAGGAAGGTGATAGCTGCGTTAATGCTGCTCTCAGGTAAACCTCATCAGTACTGCAAGTTTGCTAGGTTTTTAATGCAAGTTTCCCAGGCCATTACACTTGCTAACACAGCACTCTCACTGTTATTTTTGCTGCAAATGAAGTACAGAACTAGATTCCTTCCCTGTAATTTATGTATACCGAATACCAGTGGTTCTCAGCACAGTCTCTCAGGGAGACACTGTCCTGCAGCACGTCACCTTGCAAGGGTGAGGCCCCCTTCGACATGCCAGAGTGAGAAACACGGGTGGTGGAGAAACCAAGAGAAAAGCAACGTCCTCAGGAGAAACAGAGCACTCCACAGCCAGTGTGAACAGGCTGCAGATCTTGAAGATTCACATGAAGGCTGTTTTGCTTGCTTTGTTTTTCAACTCATGTCTACCAGGGGAAAAAAAAAAAAGTTTTTTTCTATCAAATCCATTCTCTTCAATTAATGTATCAATATCTGCAAATCCCTGAGATACTGCAGCTCCCTACCTATTCTGGACAGATGGAGAAACTTACTTTGTATACGAATTAACAAGGTGGAAGTCAATATATAGCACCCTGAGTTGCAAGTGAAACACTAAGAATGGGCAACCCATTCCCAAACAGCCAAGACGCAGAAGAACGTGCAGTCGAGTTACTGCCTAGAGAATGAAAAGATTCATACTGCAGGGTCAGAGAGATAAAAATAAAGTATTTCTAAAAGGTGTTTTCATGGGAGCAATAAAGAAAAATAAAGCAGTTAGAGGGTAGAGCTCTCAAAAAAAGCCCTGAAAAATAAAACCTTGTGGGTGTACAACAGAGTAGCAGTGCAAAGGCAGAGACAAATTACGCAGTCTCGTACCCAGCGTGCCCCAAAAGTTAACCCCTCTAGTACTGATGCTGATCACCAGCAATCACCAACTTGGACTCTGTGATATATCAGACACATAAACAGAGTTTTCCCCCTTAACAAATACAGGAAAGATACAAAAAGGAAAAAGAAAGTTACAACCAAATCAAAGAATACTTTCAATCAAAAATCAAATACTGGCTTCACAAACAATACAGCCATCTATCTTGCATCTTCCGTAGGCTTAATCATAAGCAAGAGGTGCTTGTAAAAAAAAAACTTGTATTTGAAATATTTTATTTCCCAGTATAATATTAAAAATGTTGCTATCAAACCTAAAAAAAGAAGGCAGGGACTAATATGGAACAGTTACAACTACAAACTAGTTGCTGAACCATGTGAACTCCCATAAAAGCATGAACAAAAAAAATGTAGAAACATGCTCCCTTAAAATTACTCAGGATCCAAAATACCACTTTGTTTTCACAATGGCAATAATACAAATACTGATGGATTTTTCCAATCCAGGAAAAACTCATTGCTAATTTGCCAAAATACAGATTTATACAACAATCAAAACATTTTGAAGAACTGGGATGTGTACTTTGCAAAGCCCTGTCCTCTTAACTAATCACCATTCAGTAAGCAATTCTTTCCCCAGGCCCTCCCCCTCCTCCACAGGAGTTACCAGCTTGCTGACATGGAGTTGTGCTGCATTTCAACACTTTCTTGGGGTGCAGGGAGCTGAATGGGAACAGACACGCTATAAAAAGTAAAGTATCGTAAGTCTTGAAAATAGTTGTGCCATTTCACAGGCTACTGCTGATGCAAAGGAGAAAAAGAAAAGCAATTTAACCATTTCATGAACATGAACAATGCACTTGTTCCCAGCCATTTAGAATGCTCTCACATTCCAAATGTTCATAAAAATTGGGTAATAAAAGAATTAAGTCAATACCCTCAGTACAATAAATAATGGTGTTTATTATGGTCGGGACTGACCATAAGTGTTTGTTCCGTATCTGCCTGGGACATTTGTAAAACCAGTCCTGAGTCCTTGAGTTGCTCCCATTCCCGGTATTCCAAATCCTTGATTGAATACACTGCTGTAAGGTGCAGATCCATGATTTAAACCCATTCCATAGGGCCTTGTCTGAGTGTTTAAAAGGATGAGTGGGTTCACATTTTTTCCAGGTGTATTAAAAGAAAATTCTGGTGGTGGACTGCTAGGCTTGGCTGGAGTGGACGTTACAGGGTTCAGACTATCGGCAGCTTTCAAAGATGGCATTGGAATAACATGGTGATCCGGAAGGTTCAGCATATTGTTTGCAATAGGCACAGATGATAACGTAGGTCTGATCCAATCATCTTTGAAAATCTGAACAGTCAAGGTTGAGACCAATGTGTATAATCTATTTGTGACGTGAGCAAGCACCATCTGTTCATTTGCATCTCTCCGAATTCGGACGTGTACTGATCCCGCCTAGAAAAGGATAAGAATAAGTTGGCTGTTAACTGTCCAACCACGTGCTTTCACAAAGAGCAAAGTTACCCTGCACAGAACTATGCAAAGGCATTTCTCAGGGGGGACCACTGACTGAACAGAGAAACATGCACCAAGGAGATCTATAACTAGATTGCATTTTGACCTTTCCTAATGTGCTGACCTCTCATGAGCCCATCAGGATTTCCACTCAGGAAAAGTTTTAGAATCTTAAAAGTGAATTTAAGTATAAAATAAAACAAGTGAAGACAAGAAAGGGAAGGACAACAACTAGGGGGAAATAAGAGTCGTAGCAGAGGAACAAAGCACACACAAGCTCCATGTTCCAAACTGAGGAAAAAGTATCATCATTGTGCTATTGGTGCAGGGAGAGAACACCACACGCTGCAGATAGCTCAAATCTGACCCTTTTAGCAAGAACAGAGGTGCTGCCACCCATTAACATGGCTTGAGAGTTTCTCTTGGGAGGTACAGCTGGCTGTACCTGCGTACCTCTTAGTAACATTCCCTTTTACATGGAACTCCTGTTGCAGGTAAGAAACAAATCTGGACCCTCCGATGCTTTTTCATTTCATATTCAATGAAGAATTTGATTCACAGCCTGTGACATGTAGCAAATTTTTGTATGAGAAGGTGCAGCCCTAAGCATATCCAAGTCTCGGGAACATTTCACTAAAGTCTGAAATAAGCCACGAGGCAAATACGCATGCAGAAATGTCTGTGATCAATCCAACCAAGCTGCAACCCAGTATTTTGAGTGGCAAAATAGGAGAATAAAGGCCATTTCCATATCAGCAATTCAACAGAGCCCATAATATATTTTTTCTTTTTAAGTAGGGGAGACTAGAAGAATCCAAGAATGGAGAAAAGTTCTAACAGTCTTTTAACCGTCATGATATACCTGCATCAGTTCATGAATATCTCAATGACTGCTGTATGACTGCTCCGACCTGCATCAGTTCATGAATATCTCAATCCTGTATGACTGCTCCATATCACAAAAACTGCATTTTTTTCCTCCATCTTCTAGAATATCAGTATACCACTGCAGTTTTGTTTTTTTTCTTCCCCCATAACTGCTACAAATATATGATTCTACTGTAAGCCTTATTTACCTTTGGTACTGGAGGGTTTGCATTGTTTCTCCCGCCCCCTGCTCAGAAATAATTTATGCTAATACCCTTTTTGAAGGATTTCCTTGCTATTTGGGAATTTCTTCACAAACAAGAAGAAAAAAAATTCTAAAATGCACTCTTTAATCAAAAGCTCATTATTAACCAATAACTAGGCTTTAAATGAAGGAAAATCAACATGAATGTTTTTCTATCAATCACAAAAAGCACCCATTTTTTTATTCAAATTTTTACATTTCTTTAATGCAAAAGAAAACTTTTATTTAAATTCAAAAATTTAAAACAGTAACCGATGCTTCTTTTTGGAGCCTAGAAACGAACAGACATAACTTACCAAAGTGCCAAAACCTAATGTCCAGAAATGCTCATTTCGAACTTCCAATACACCATCCAAAGTTGAAACCTGATTTTTATACAAACATCCAGCAATACAAAAATAAACAGAAAGATTATTTTATACCTTTCTAGAAATGCACAGTTTCATGTAGTTGAATAATAGCTTTTTTAATTAAAGAAAAGTTATCAGAACACGGAATGGACCGAGTCTATTGCTTCTAATTTGTATCTATTTTTCTACCTGTAAAAGCACAATTTCACCAAAAATTTTTAAGTAACGCAGAATTTCTGATGTCAATTTGCAGCATGTTCTCAACTTGATATTCTATAAAAACAGCCTCTTTACTCTTTCTCCCCCCACTCACTTTTTAAAATCTCTCCAGCAACAGCAACTTTAGTTCAAAATAAGAGTAAAATAAAAACTTGCATCATTTAAAGTCTTTTCCACATATTTGAGTGACACTGCTCATCTTATATAATAAGCTTCATATTTTCTATGTTCAATAATGTTCATTTTAAGCTTAAGAAAACTCTTCAGTTTCCTCTATGCTTACTTAGTGTTAGCTGCATGCATTGTGTCATGTTTATAAACTGACTCACCTCTCTAAGAAGTTTATCTAACTGGCCAATCACATGAGGCGGTGTTGTCTTAAAAACAAAGAAAAGAAAAATCATGTTACAATAAAGATTAACTGGTCCTATTATAAATAGGAAAACACGCAAGTACATGGCATAATAAAAGTCTTATGACTCCATAATATTCCCCTATATTGCACTTAAAACTCCTTTAGCATCTTACCATAAAACCCTCTTGGAACCCTTCCTTCTCAAATTTTCAACAATGAATTTTTAAAAATAAGGATATTTAACAACACTGAAGCCACATAATACTTGTTTTGTGACACTGTCTTACCTGAAGCAGAACTTTACCACTGTAGACGCTCATGGGATACATGGTACCAAATGTCATCAAAGCAATTGCTATAGCAGACGCTGTGTCTGCAGCAAAATAATTGCTAGAGAAAAAGAACAATTTTAAAGAAAACAGGTATTTAAGCATTTGAAAGGCATATGAATTTTCTTTTGATTTTTCTTCTTTCTTTGAAACAATATCCACATATACAATATCACAAACTTAACAGAACTATACATTTTTGTAAAAAGCCGAATATATTCACATAATCCATTATATATGAAATTCAGTGATGAGATCACTGCTTGCAGCAAAAAATGCTATTTCCCATAGATTAGATTTTAAAAAGATTAAAAAAGAAACTATACATACTTAATTTCAATCAGCATATATGTAATGCAAAGGGCTAGAGCGCCAGCAATGTCAATCAGAACAAAGGGGTTCATTCGTGGCAGAAAGATGCTACTCAGTCCTGGGATAATTCCACAAATACTGCAACAAAAACAAGTGGTTGTCAGTTGACCGTTCAGCATCACTACAAAATCCAAAAGAATTACACATATTATTTTAACACTAGATTTAAAATACATCTTACAGTCTCTGAAAACAGTATATAAGGACTATTAAAGCTCATAATTCTGTTCAAAGTTTTACAATAGTGTGATGCCAGCAAAAAATAATCAAGTTTAGAGCCATGTTATATTCTCTCTCATATCTGAGAACACTAAGTGGCTCTTGCATCTTATATTTCTTTTAAGTCTATCATTCCATCTATAACTGTATACTAAAATAGTGTTAATACACTTTATCCTACATATTGAACACATAGCTTTAGATGCATTTTTCTTAGTGACAGACCTAGCTGTGACAGCTGTACACAACATAGAGCTGTGTCAACTGTATACATGTATACTTTATAATTTCAGATATTGCTATCACTTATATAAGATTTAAACTGTACTACTAGTCTTCAATCCATCTGCCTTATTGGTGTTCAAAAATGTGCTAAACTCAAGGCCAATTCATGGAGAAACATGCAAGTCTGAAAAGTACGGGGGGAAGTCAGCTACCTGAATAAGATGAGGCGAAAAAAAAAAAGGGGGGGGGGGGGGTGGGGAGGGATAGAGAAAAAGGTTTCTGCACTTCCCCATGAACATAAGTACATGTCATGTATTCCAAAACCTGGAGGAAAAGACAACATGAAATTCTTTGTTGCTCTGTTTTGGACCAACCAATTTGGGACATAGCGTGCTGATCCATTTCTGTCAGAATTTTACTTCAATTATTATATATAGGTGCAGTTATTTCGTAAACAGCATTGATTCATAGAGGATGTTTAAAATAGCCACATAAATAAATGCTAGCTTAATAGTTTAATTTTAAAAAAATAAATTGTTGGTGTAAGTGTATATAGGTTATTTGAATAGCTATGCCTAGGCACTTGATCTTTAAGCCTGTCAAGCTATCCTTCTGTGTGGTTTTGCTCATAAAACTCTATTACCACACCATTAAAGAAAAACTCTGCTATTCTCTGCAATTACTATCCATGCTTTTCTAAATTGAAACTCCTTGTATTCAGGCAGTCCTATCAGTCCCACTTCAAAGTCGTGTTTTTCAGAATGCAAGTCTGATGATTTAAACACCACAGTCTTACAAAAATCAATTCTTTTGTGTTGAACACACCAATGTTTTCTCCTTTCCCCAACTATATGCACAATTACAACATGGAAACAGATGGCCTTTAAAGCACACTTTGCATGTAACACAACAGAAGTTAACATTCTTATTTTCATAGTGAGAACATAATTACTCAGAAGGATCCATAGGCGTCAAAATAAACATATGCAGTATCTGACAGTATTTGTAAGTGATGTTATCTGGCATTCAGATATTCAGTACAAGCAAGAGAGTTAACAGCTTAGTGACAAACAATGCTTCAGTCCTGGAAGACTGGTGAGGAGTTTTCTTAGTAATGTTTAAGTGAGCACTGTATTTCACATGTTGTATTTAAATGGAAACAGCCCTAGTTGCTTACAAATAATGAAACACAAATTGCTAGAAGACACATTTCTCAGGTAGGAAACAGTTGTTGGGAAATACAGTTCATGTCTGTACAAAATAAATCTATTTTACCTCAGCCTCATCCAAAGAGAATAACATACAATGTACTGAACACCCTCAAGAGAAAAGTTAGGTAAAAATATGCAGTTCTATTAGACGATACATATGGAAAATAAGAGACACACTGTTTTGGCTAGAATCCATATGCCATATCTAAAATAAACAACACTATCTTAAAAGAGGTGAAATATTTAGCCGTTTGTATCTCAGTACCTGTTCTAAAATGCTAATGCACAAAACACCTACTGCCTTCTAAGAGTTAGCGATTTTGGAAAAACCTTGCGATCTTTACCTTCTACTGAGATCCGCAACGTGCTCCTGAAGCCAACTTGTGCTGGCAGCTGCAAAAGAACATAATAAAGTCCCTTAATAAAGCTTTCTATATCCTTCAAGTTCTGCTTTAAGGTAAGAACCTAGAGCACCGTGAATGAGTATGTGTAACTCACTTGAAAAAACACTTGAAAAAACTATCCACTATCACTTGAAAAAACAGAAAGTGTGACTTTTCCAGGCAATTAGTAAGTAAAATGCATTTAGCTATATTGAACTGATTAAATACAAATAAATGCAGATTATAGACAGATGCTTATGTATTTATCTTTAAAGTTTTGATCACATGTGATCACATTTTGATCACATTCCATCATTAAAATGATAACTCAGTTTATTGTATTAATGACTTTGTACTACTTTGAGAGAACAGTATAAACAAACTAGAGAAGATTTTTAAGATAATTCTAAGCTGCTTTGAGTTATACCCATAAAGAGAATAGTAGTATGTAACCTGCTAGTTAAAAAAAGTTACTAGACAAGCTATGCCTTCATAAGAACAGGTAACACAAACTTTATCAATTCTTGTCACAGCTTATCACATACCTTCAGAGACGTAAGCAAAAGGCTTATTCCTAATGGAAAGCATTGTGAATAAGTTGAAAAAGAGAGCCACAAAGGTACCAACCAGCAGCCGTCCCCTAAGGAAAAAAAGAAAGACGCATTTTCATCTCATTAGCCCTACAATACATGAAATAAAGCTGGAGTCACCATCTGCAATAACAAAATACTTTATTGGGTAACTTCCACCAGGACTGAAAACAAGACTAAGAGGAAATAGCGTAACACTTAATAACTAGCAGCATATTATCATTTCAGGGAAATACAGGAGATCAACAAACATTGTACATCAATGTTATCACAGCAGGCTAAACATAGTGTTCATAATGCTTAGTTGAGAAAACAGTTCTCAACTGAATGTGCGTACACATAGTTTGTCCTCTCAAGATATAAGCACAGTCCTCTCAAGATATAAGCACATTATTCCCTCAGCAGTAGGGCTACTGAAGCCTGGTTTCCTATGGAAGAAACTGATGAGCTCACTCTGGAGCCTCTCCTACAGCATGAGCAGTAAGTTGGCTTTCTCTTCTCTACCCAGGCCTCATCCGTCAAAAAAAAATCCATAACTTCTTATCTTCTGGATGCCCCAAGTGTTGTCAAATTATAGGAGGCCAGAAGCTTACAGACAGTAAATGCCTCATGTCTTCCAGAAACCACATTAAAGTATAAGAAATAGGAGTAAATAAATTGCCAAAATTACCAGTAGTTAAATGAGCAAACCCAACAATATGTGACTAAACCATCGTAACTTAAGAAACTATATGGACTACATTTCAATTGTCCTTCAAGAGTGTTGTTTATCATATAGCTTACATTTAGTTTGAAACAAATATCTAGATACCAAAACCCACTTGGCATTGAATAAACTTGCCATAAATCATACAAGACAGATTAAGAATTGGAAACACAAAGACACTGAAAAACATGCAACTTTACAGGTCAAAATAGTTTCTTACGTGTGTATTTCAGGTTGTTCCAGAAACCGCTCTGCGCTACAGAAAAATAAATGAAGATTAGCTGACATTCATAAAGAAAAACTGTGACATGCGGTGCTGCAAAAAAATTGCAGGTGCTAAAATAAATTGTTTAGATAAGCACAGTAGTTTTTATAAACCACGAAAACAAATAACACTGAAATAAAGCAGAGCGTAATCTAGATTTTCCAACTGTTTCCAGTTGGAAACACAGGTATTGGGTATCATGAACGCTGCCCAGGCAATCAAAATATGTTTGTGAATGGACATGCCAGAAAATACTGCTGCTGCTTCCACCAGTGCTGTTAACTACTACAAAGCTTGAAAATCGTGGCTACTGTCTTTTACTTAACAAAGCCAATAATAGTAGATGTTGGGTATTAAAAGAGAGATGGACTTTTTTTTTCCCCACAGTAAAATAAGAATCAAGCTTCCACTGCATCATAGAAAAGATAAATTTCAGGAATCTAATGATAAAAAACTCAAGTTGCATCTAATTTGGATAATACCTCCTTATCAGAAACCAATCCACAGTACTGTCAGTGATTTGCAATGGATCGGTCTCTAGTACAATATCCTTCAGTTGTTAACATAGCCCTTTATAGAGAAAACAGAGCTCCTGAAAAGTGAGGCGGGGGAACTGCCCCAGTTTTAAATACTGGATGTTAACAAAGGCCTTTTAAAAAAAATCCTTAATATAATGCTGCAAAACTGCTTTTTTTCCATGAAGTAAGAAAACAAAGAACTGTTGAAAGTATTTTTTTACTGTTATTAATCTAAGAAGTCTAGATGCTCCATGAAACATATTAAATCAAATTTCTAGCATAATGTCTGAAAAATCTAGTTTTATTTTTAGAACACTGACTCTTTCTTTGATAGTTGTTTAATTATATTTACTAATTTCATATTCTTTTCATCTCAAATCTAGTCGTAATCAGTATAAAAAAAGAAAAAAAAATCAATATAAAAAAAGTGAAGTTCGTCTAAAAATATTTCACTCAAAACAACATTTGTTGAAGGCATTGGCTTTTCCTCAACCAGGCATATTATTTTACATAACAAGAATCAAAGAAAACAGTATATATCCCTACCTTTCTTTTAGAATAAAAAGAGCACCAAGTTGTACCAAAACTGTAGAAGCAAAAACAGCTAGAACTTCAAATCTCTCAAACCTGAAATTTAAGAACTAAGTTTAGAAACACTAAACATCAAGTAATACATCAAATACATTTTGGTCTACCCAGGAATAAGCAGGATAGACCTATTTATTTCTAATTCTTTCAATCAGAAGAATTCTTTCAATTAGAAGAATTGAAGATAAAGGGGAAGAAAACAGAATTTTTAGGGAAAATTCATAACTTCAATCTTCCCTGAAGCAGATACCCCATTTTATGAATAAATTGGTTCTGAAACATGAACGACTCTAATTTCCATCTTAAAATTAAGCATTTCTTAATTCTTTTTTCTCTCCTCTCCTTTCTTCCCCTTTTCTTTACAGCACCAATCTTGGGCCTCCTTAATTTTAGGCTGTCTTACATACATACAGTTGGCCATGGCAATTATGTGACATAGGTAACGACACTCAAAAATATAATCAAATCTTGTATTAGAAAGCCACGCTGAATCGCCCTACTTACCCAAATGAATAGACTGAGCTGGGTTTCTTCATCATCACCCAGTAGCTTATTAGACATGTTACCAAACTGAAATAAAAGGTGAGAACTGTGTTATGATGAACAAATGCAGCCTTTACAAACTAGGTAATCTACAAACTCTACATTTCTGCCATCAGAACTGAATGTCTGAACACAACATCTTACCATAAGCTCAACCCTTCCATCCTTATCGTAGGGATGGTTCTGACACATCCATAAAATACTGTTTGGCAACAAAGCTCAGACTACACAATGAGGTCTCTGCTGACCCCCTAAAACAGGCAGCAAATGACTTTTAGTGGAATGGTAGTCAGCCTAATTCCTTATATTAGGAGACATTCCATGCCATACTTACCGTATGCTGTACTTAAGAGAACTACCACCCACCTTCAACATGGAACATCACTTAGATCTAAATCAAGGATCTCAAACCTGAATACAACGCATTTTTCTGCTGAAATACTGATATGATGAAGCAGCTAGTGTCTCATCTTTACATATTTCAGAAACTTCTGAAAGGCAACTAGGGAATATGGGACAAGGTACCCCAGAACCTGACTAAAGGAGGAAAGGTGATTTGTGAAAGTCTGTTTAATACTATCTGGTATCACACATTAATGAAGAGCACAAAGCAAACAAAAGCCTACGAAAATAAAATACACAGCCAGTAAATGCTCTTGCATGTGCTTTATGAACTGTATAACAAGCCTAGAAATACCATAAAGGTCATTAAATCAGAGAAAACCTGCTAAGCAAGACAACAGGACTGACTCCTTTGCACTACTTTCTTTGTATCTCAGTGTTACAAAAAAAAAAAAAGAAGTAGAAAGAGGAAAACCTTATATTAGGGACATTATTCTTCTCAGGCAAAGTATTACCATTCTTTTCCACAGTGTGTTATGTCTACAAACATGGTCAAAATGGATTTGCCTTTTTGGCCACACAGTTATATTATAACTGACCACCAGGGGACAGCCACAGGTGTCTCTTGCTATTTTCTTTCCAAGCTTCTCCCTCACATGAAATTTCTAAGATTCTAATTATTTTATCCTTGAGGTATCAGCTTGATTTTTTCAAGGATTATCTTATTTCCCATGGCTATTTATTCTCTGACCCCCTTCTTTTATAAGTACCATGCAAAATCAGTGCCACCTCCGAATTTATGCAGCCCTTTCTTAATTGAATTTTTAAATCAGACTGGATCAAGAACTCATCCTCTCAGCAGTCTAACAATCACATGCTCACAACTTGACCAATAGCTGCTTGGAGTACAAGCAAAAGCACAGGAAATAATATTGCTTACATTCAAAACAGTAAATTCATATACTCAGTAAAACTGCTATACATGACCAGGAAAATGACAAAAAACAAAAGAACAAGACAGCTTTTTACAGCAGAACCAGAGTATTGTTTCCCCTTAAAACTCTTCAAAGAGCCTGCTGTGAGTTAGAATAATCTTATAGTCCATCCTGTATTAACCAAGTATATCAATACTCAGAGTATTCATCCTGTCCTGAAATTAATAAAACAATATTCTACACAATGAGACAAAACATTAAAACTCTTCTCAAGATGAAAAAGATACTTTAAGATGACAAAACTTAATAAGCGCAAAAATTTTAAAAGAAATAACACACATATTTATTACAGATGTATCACAACTCTCATTCTTGATATGTGACACATATCAAGCTAGGCATAATTTCCTTTTCCTTTCTTCATGTGTGCCATGGCTTATAAATGCTTTACTATCAGTCAGACAAAGTGCATAAAACACATGTATTTCTTAGTGATAAAACTCAAACTTCCTCACTAGCTGGCTAACATAATATTTACAAGAAGTACAGATCAGCTATCTGCAAACCATTATTTGCCCCATTATGTGCCACAATTTGTTTCCCAACCACTGCTACTGACCTACATTTTACAGGAGACAAATATATTCCATGCTTGTCTTACCAATCTTGCCAAAACCTTCCTGTATTTTTAGCATTTTCTTAGGCAGTAAGGAAAAGATCCTAATATCTTTCAGTGCTGGACAGGAAAACTACAGTTTTAGTGTTCAGAAACTGGTCAGAACAGACAAGAGCTAACAATGCTTGTACACAAGTACTGTCCTAGTGACTTCACTGGAGGAGACTAAATCAACGAGTGAAAACAAACTGACTAAATCAATTTGTCTCTAAACATTCACACTATAGCTATGGTGTTTCTCACCATCTCTATTTTATACTCATACATAAAATACTCAAATTTATACATATACATATATTTAAAACAAAATACAAAAAAATGGCATAAATTAACTGTGAAATTAAATGGAAAAAAAATCTCACCTGAAAAGATCAAAGATTGTCAAATATGTGTAAGCAGTTAAAGCTGTAAAAAATCAAAATATTAAAACTCAATATAACAGAATACAAGCAGCTTCTACATTAAAAAATCATATTAAATCTCTCTTGTGCAGCTCTTTATTTTCTATCTGCATAAATTCTCTATGTTTATGGAGAACATTTATAGTATGAATATCCTAAATACACCAGTATTTCATTTCATAAACAGGCTGATTATGACAAGCCTAATTCTATTAAACCATGTAATAGTGCCCAACTGCATAAGGTGCTAAGCTACCAACAACAAATAGTTCTTGGTAGAACTTAAATACAGAAAACTCAGAAAATTTTGTAACACATGCTTCTTTAAAGTAAAAGATATCTCCCCTGTATGTTATTGTAGTAAAAAATAAGCTTGATGGATTTTTTATTTTTTCTGCTTCTTTCTCCCATGTTGAAACTACAAGAACTCCTGTATCACAATCTAAAAAATAAAGGGCATTCTATCTTAACTACAGATGACACAAGCACCCTGGGACTCCTATACAAAGGTAGGACATATACAAATCCCGAAAAGTGAAATAGTTGGAACTAGTCCAACTAGCCCAACATAGTTACAAGTCTTTCGCTACACTACAAACGACAGGAAATTCAATTGCAAGGGATGCTCTCTACAGGCCACTGCTACCATTCTACAACAGGAGGAGATTGAAGGACTTGCCCATGTCTTCCTCGGTGCAGTCTTAAAGCTAAAGAGGGTACAGCAGGGAGAAAATCAGCCAGGAGATCTCATAAACATTCCAAGCTTTGAAGGACTTTCACCCAACCTGCACTCCTACACCTTTCTCAAAGAAAAAAAAATCTCTTAAACTGACTGCAGGGCACCTCAAAGGAAGGCATGTTTCAGTTGCCTAACTCCATTATGAAGAACTTCACTGAAACTTCATGAGCTAAAAAACTCATGGTAGTCAGCCACAGTTTCAGCTAAAAAAAAAAAAAAAAAGCCACCTACCTATGTTGTTTATAGAGCTGCACCACATTAGCAGGAAGCCAATACATATTAAATTGATAGCACCAAAAAGCAGGATCTTCCAGGACTGGAAATGAGAATAAATGTGCATTTTACCTCTTACAGAAGTTGTAAGAAAATGATATACCAATCTGATTTTAAAAAGAATATTGCAGTATTTCAACATGCAAGCAGCCAGGCAGCTAAAGTTGAAAAAGCAGTAGCCATTGCAATTCAAGGCACTAATAGTAAAAGAGTCTATCCATTCTGGCCTATAAATACATTTTCAACAGATCTAGTATTACTACAGTATCTGTACTGATACAGGATGCACGAGCCACAGTTCAAGCTACGCAGAAAAAAAATAAAAAAAAAAATTAAAGCACAAATAGAAAATAAAGGAAACAGGTATTTCTCAAAAAACAAACAAAAGAAACAAAACGAAAAAGAACACCCAAACTAGTAGTGTATTTTAACTCAGCATAGTTAACATTTTATCCTTACTTCTTTAAAAATAGACACACAAGCAGAAGCTCCTACACTACTTACCCTTCTATCTGCTGCAACCAACCTAAATTCATGTGTTAACTTTCCAACCAACGACCTCTGTGATTTGCGGAATAGGTGTATTGTCCCCTTTAACAAAACAAACAAAACCCACAAGCATAATTAAATATTTTCCTTAAACTATAGTTTATATCAGCAAAAACAACATACAATATTTTTTGACAATCATTTTATATGTTTATTATATTGGAAAACAAGGAATGACATGAACAGTGTTTTTACTTAGGTTTGGCAAACTGTATTTTGATATAAACTCGATTTCAAGCTCACTGAGCATACCAAACCTCACTTTTATTTGAACAAAACTACTGTCAATACAGTACATTTTTTTTTCCCCTCATCAAAACACACTTCCCACACAAAGCCAGTTTACTTATTAAGCAGTAAAATACTAAAGTGCAGTTAACAAATTGATAAAAAAGGTTTGTAAACCTAACTACTTAAACATGCACTTAAACACATAGTAAAGACATAGTTTTTCAAAATGAACTGTTTCCAAAGGCAACCAATACAAACTAAAGAAGAAAAAAAATATAAGCACACTTAATCTACTTTGGAGCAACAATACTCAACATCCCAACCAGACAGGCATACATATTATGGCCATATCAAAGAACCATATATCCTGACAGCTTCTGGATCAGATGGCTGAGGAAAACCCACAAGAAAAATGAAAGTGATGGCTTGTGACGTGTTGGCCACGAGGCCAGTCATACGGTGGGGCCTGCACACAGCCTTGGTCATGGCTTAACCTACATGTGCATGTTAGATGTTGCCATCATCCGCTCTCCCGCGTGCACAACATACACCACTTCAGCGCCATGCAGACGGGCACTCTCTTGGGGAGTCACAGGATTTATGGTGACTAGCACAAGGTGGTTCTCCCGAGAATGACAGGAAGCAGGATAACAGAAAAATGAACAGATTCTACCACCTGCTCCCATTCCCTAGAGTACCTAAATTACTCTTTGGCTGTTCTCCATCCTCCCCTAACCAAAAAGAAATGAGCTTTTCACCTGAAAAGTCCTTCTGATTTGCAATAGAAATTCATAGGCTGCCATATACATTGATTTCAAGGCTGGATGAAATCAGGTTTGATCCCAAGCTATCACATTGGTTAGTAAGGATGATAAGACACACTGATAAGCTGGATACCAGAACAGATTCACCCAATTTACAGGTAGCATTTGTAGAAACACAGTTTGCCCAAGTGCCAAGAATTAAGAAAACAGCACTACAAATCTCATGTTTAGCTTCCTCTCAGGCAATATAGATCTGTGCTCAATACTTTCTTCACTGGCAAAGCACCACGTAACAACGCTTTTCTCAGTAAGGACAGAGAGGATGAGAAAGGTTCAGGAAACGCTTTCTAACAGCCAGCTGGCTACCTGCTTATGAAGCCTGCTACATCCTCTTAGCACTCAGCACTCTCCCATGTTGTCAGCACTAACCGCATTGTGGTACACATCATTTTTTACATAAAGGACTTCACATGAAAAAGTTATAAAAATCAGTACAGTGGAATTCTGTACCACAGGTGAGAACTCTCTGTAGAGGCACAGAACTACTAATTCAGTAGATGTTGGGCTTCGACATTAAAGTTCACCCAAACGTTAATATTCCAACGACAAAACACAGAAGAAGAATTTGCTGTTAGGCAGGTTGGCAACTATCCCATTTTTTAACTGGGTCCACTAGAGGCTAGAACAGCTGTGGAGTTAATGCAGTGAGCACAAGCATCTGCTCCATCAGTGCCAACAGGTGACAGTGGCTGTTACAGGCAGCAACGTCAATTTACCCACTCAGCACAAACGAGAAAAGCTGAGACATTCAGTGCCTCTTCTGAGAGAAGAGATTTTTTTCCTTAAGAGGACAGCCATAAGCACCAGGACTGAGTACTTCTATATTTTGACTGATACATCAGAGTAGGGGCAGGAAGAGTTGTATGTCCTGACGTACATTTCAGTTCCCTAACTGTTCTGGTATTGAATGAAGAATTTCTAAGAGCTATTTCTCAAGCTAATTGTCATTAGGCACAAGGCATTTGTTCAAGATATACTTTCTGTAGAACATGTTGTTTTTCTCATCACATTGAAAAAGCAGCAACCTATTCAGCAATAAACATGACAAGTCTCACACAGAGAAAATAAGACAGCCCCTACTGCCATCTATTAATAAAAATAATTACCTTCAAAACCAACTAAGTCTGAATCCTTAGGGTTTTGTCATTATCAGGCTAGCTGGTAGAACAAAGCATTTACCCTCTTGAAAGTTTCTGCCCTTACTATTCTCAAGTGACAGTGAAGAACACAGCTAACAAGAAAGTCACCATACTTCAGAAGTAAGGGAAGATGCTGAACTGCCTAAGGAGAAGGTCTGTGCTCTTGTGCCCAGAGCAGCAGCTGCACCACACACGGTGCTGCCTCAGCACCTGCTAGACAGAGCACCTGCGGCCCCCGCAGCGGCTCCAAGAAGGGGCAGGCCAGAGGAGTACACTGATAAGAAACCAGCAGCAAGAGCTTCCCAGCACACACCAAGGCCCCGCGCCGCCGCTGCCAGCCTCGCACCCGCTATCGGGGACACTCGTTTGCGTGTGCCAACCTGGAGGAAGCACAAGCCATAGGGGAACCTCGCAGGGAGTAACGGCCCGCGGCGGGTAACGGCTCGCGGCGCGGGAGAAGGGGCGCCCCTCCCCCGCCCACACGTCACCGCGGCCCAGCAGGGGTGGCGCCGGCAGCTCCACCCGGCCCGCACTGCGGCCGCGCCGGTGCCTAGCTGGAGACTCCCGGCCCAGGCCCCGAACTGACAAAAAAAACACACAACCCCAAACCCAAGCAACGGGCAACGCACCATATTACTCCCCACACCGGAAGAGACGGCGCCATGCGAAACCGGAAGAGGCAGGGACGACCTTCTGTTTCTACGGTAACAGGCGGTGCCTTAACACACACCACCCGCGGGGAGGGAGGAGGTGTGACGTAGTGCGGAGCGGGGAGCGCGCGCTGCGGCCGTTACAGCCAAACGGTCGAGGGCAGCGGTCGGGGGCTCTGTGCTGTGGCCGGCGGCTGCAGTCCTTCTCCAAGTCGGGAGAAAGTGGGGGTGCTCAGCGGCCTCTTGGTTTCCGAGTTTTAGCCCAGCTCCCTCCTTTCCCTTCTTTCTAGCCCCTCATCTGCCCTTCCCCTTGCATCAGCTTGCCATCTTAGGCAGCCAAAGCCCGGAGCTACTTCAGCCCGTTCAGGTGCCTTAATGTCAGTCACCTGGATCCAGAGGAAAACAAAGGGGGCAAAATTGGGCTGTAGGCGGTCTGTATGCATGGGCAAATTCAGCCTGAAAGTTCTCCCCACTGATGACAATGTCACTGTATTTAAGCAATACATACGAAACATACAAAATTCAATGGCATTACTATATTCTGTCTGTGTCTATAAGAACTAAAAGGAAGGAGTGCTATGTGGAGAGTCAGCCTACTCTACTACAAGAAAGACTTTGTTTCACCACTTCCTAATGGGACTAAATCCTCCATAGAAAACAGAGAATACTGCTAGCACTGCCATAGCTCTTTTCCTCTCTGCAAATCTATTAGATATAGATGTATTTTTTTCCAAGCAACATTGAAAGCTGCATAAGATAGAGCTTCAAAGCTGTAGAAACTGTGTTGTTGAAAATGGTCAGTTGCTTGTGTGCTAAAACAGGGATGACCTGAGAATGCCTCTCCATGCTCTGCTGATGTTAAAACACTTAAAACAACATAAAAATCCACCAGCAATTCAACTAAAATAATTCTAATCAAATCTAAAGACTATATTGGTATGAAGCAAAGGTATGTTTTAATGAAGAGAAATACAGAGCAATGCCTAAGGTACTGTGACTTATTACAGAGGATCAGACACATCAGACCACTACCATGACTGAGTAGAGACGAAGCATGTAAGGTGGGATCTGGGGCAATGTCTGGGCACTGTTGAGATCCTCAGGGGCGTAGGCCTTCCTGATTGCCCTCTTAAAAGCTCAAAGCCTCCTGTCCCAGCAAAAAGAGGGCACGTGTAGCTGTGTGGTGAGTAAGGCCTGTGCTTTGGGAGTTTTTACCAGCGCAGAGCCAGGCATTTATCTGGCAGATGCTCGAAAACCAAGCTCAGACCTGCAGAGGAGAGTGAACATGACAGGAGCGAGCAGTGAGTTCAGGCCCCACCAGCTACGCTCCCAAACTGCACATGAGACAAGCCTGCAGCATGGGAGATGCCAAGACCTGGGGAGAATCCCACACACACGCCGCCGCCCGACCCGGCTGGCGCATCACAATGTGCCC